GGGGCCACCGGTTCATGATGCCTCAGAGACCAGGCAGGGAGCCAGGAGGAAGGTACCTGCCTTGTTGGGCTCAGGGACAGCATCTTGGAGGCCCTGGCGCTGGAGAGAGCCAGCACCTGAGCATGACACTGTTGAGGGCAAAAACGACCCAGGTGGAAGTGTGAGGGCGGAAGCTGGGCTGGGCCTCGGGGCTGCAGTAAGAGGGGGAGCCTGGGCCCAGTGGAGGCTTGGGGTTTAGGACAGCCTTGGGTTTAGAAAGGCCGGCTGGCCAGTGCAGGGAGGGCCGCTGGCAGCCGGAGGCAGTGGAGGCTTTTGCTTGTGTGGGCTGGGGGGGAGGTTGGGGGAGACTGTGGTGGTGTAGACGGGGTGCTGCTTGGCGGCTTTATGGGTCAAGGCTCAGTGAGGTTGAGGCTGTGGAGGCCTCCGCACCTACTTGTTGCTGTGTAGTCACGGCCTCGGGAGCTGCAGGCAAGGTGGTGTGGAGGTGACCCTCCAGTGCTGGGCTGGGTCACAGCGGCCATCGTGAGCATTTCTTCTCTGCAGAACATGGTCAGGGAAGGGGTGAGGCTGGGAGGGAGGCAGAAGGGGCCTGGTTTTTACGCCTTCACCCGCAATGAGTGCTCCTCCAAAGGGTGGCCAGGTGGGGGGTCAGCCTGTGCCGTGGGGGCTCCCGCTTTCTGCACCTAGCCAGGTGCCCACGTCCTCTGACTCCGGGCGTTGGCAGAACTGGCAGTTACCTTGTTGTGGTCCCCTCTCAGGGTACATCTTTGTGGATTTCAGCAGCGAAGAGGAGGTGAAGAGAGCCCTGAAGTGCAACTGGGAGTATATGGGTAAGGAGGCGCGGCGCTGCTTCCCGGGTTCCCTGGCTCCCGCGTGGGCCCTGGCTTAGGTGCTTGTGCTGAGCACCAAGGAGGACCTGGAGAAGCTCTTCTCCACCTATGCTAGGACCTGCTCCTGGGTAGCCCCCGGCCCTGGGCAGCCCCCTCCACCTCCCTCTAGCTCTTGGCCTTGGACAGTGGCCCCAGCTGGGGTCTCCTCATCTTAGAACAGGGCTTGCTGTCCCTCCCTGCTGCAGATGTAGGACATCTTTTGCTCTCTGAACTTGAACTTGGATTTTCTCTCCTTTCTTTTCTTTTTAATGGTTCTGGGGATTGGACCAAGGGGCATTGTACCACTGAGCTGCATCCCAGTCCTTTTCATTTTTTGAGTCGGGGTCTTGGTAGGTCAACGAGGTTGGCCTTGATCCTCCTGCCTCAGCCTCCCAAGCCACTGAGATTACAGGCACAGCCACGACGCCCGCAGAGCTGGGATTCTCTCTCTCTCTCCAAGCACCGAGCTGGAGAGGTGGAGGCGTTTTCCTGGGCTTCCTTGGCTGCTCGGTGTTGGGATCCAGAGGCCGCACAGCCCCCAGTGCCCGCAGTGCTCCTCTGCCTGGGAAGGCTGTCCTTTCTCATCTTCTATCCAAACGAGCTTCAGAGAGGAGGCCACAGCCAGGGCCCTTTGTTCTTGCCTCGGTCGTTACTTCTTGGACTGGGAACTTGCAGGCCTGTAGTTGCGCTCGGCCACACTGGGCCGAGTCTGTGGGGAGGGGTGGCTCATGGTGCACCGTCTGGAAATGCTGCCCGAGCCCCTGTCTCTTGGGAGGCTGGCCTGGACGTGGAGCATCAGGGACAGCGTGATGTCCATAGAGGTCCCACATGGGACCTGAATGTCTGGCCATGCTGTCCTGCTCCCCAGGTCCTCCCACACAGGCTGGTGCCCTGGCCTCACAAAAGTACTACACAGGACAGGAGGGGGATTGTCCATAGGCTCCAAGTGCCCATTTGGGAAGAGGAAGACCCACAGAGGGGAAGTGGTCACACCCTGGTGTTCAGAGTGTCCACTGCAGACAGTGTCCTCTGAGTAGGACAGAGTCACAAACACTTCTGCAGCACTAAGTGTAGCCGGTGCTGGGTAGTAACCACACACTGACCCTTGGACCTTTGAGGCCACCCTGCGCTTGGGGACTGTTGTGCCATTCACAGGCAAGAGGAGGAGTCCCGAGTGAGTGAGGTGACCGGCCCAGGGCAGGTTGCACATGAAGCAGGATGGAGCCAGGTGCCCCTCCTCCCCCACTTAGTAGGCACGAGGGACTGTGAAATGACGCCTTTGACCTTGGGCCTGATGGCTGGCACAGCATAGCTGTTCTGTGTTCGTGTGGCCGACCCCTTAGTGCCCGGCCCTTTCTCACCCTGAGCTCAGGCCCAGCTCCAGCTCTAGCAGGCTGACGCCTCCCCTGTCCTCAGGTCCCCTGTCGGAGCTCCACTACTCCATTGACAGCCTGACCAAGAAGCCCAAGGGCTTCGCCTTTGTCACCTTCATGTTCCCTGAGCACACGGTGAAGGCCTACATAGCCATGGACGGACAGGTGTTCCAGGTGAGGTGGCTTGTGGGCACCGGGTCACTGAGCCTGGCGACGGAGAAGGCCACGCCGGGTGGCTGTATGAGCAGGCGTGCGTCCACGTTCTGGTTCCCAGGACCCACGGTGGCCAGCCATGTGGTCGCCTCCAGTGAGCTACTTGAAGGGAAGATGCTGTGAGAGGGGAGCTTGCTGGGGTGTGTAGGTGGCCCTGAGGAACCAGGGAGCTGCTGCTCTCCCAGTGTCCCCTGGGCGGTATGCCCAGGCCCAGGCCAGGCCACCTCCAGTGCTCCTCCATCCATCTGCTCATGGCTTATTGGTCTCACGGGCACTGGGCCGGACTGGCCCCCGCCGTGTGCAGCTCCCAGTGTCCTTGTGCAGGGTCTGCTGGGGGAGTCGGGGGCTGTGGGGTGCTCACAGAGGGTACAGTCCCCTTGGCGTGGCTATGTCGGGTGCCCCCAGCCTCAGCTGAACGGAGAGTGACCACGTGGCTTTCTGTCTGCTGTCCCTGTCTCCCATCAGGGCTCAGTGGTGAGTCTAGCTGGCTTATGACGAGGGGACATGATGGAGGGCGGGGCTCCACTCACCTCCTGCTTTGTCCCCTCAGGGCAGGATGCTGGGCGTGCTGTCATCCACCATCAGGAAGGAAGCCAGTGAGGACGTAGATGTCCCCGGCTTGTCCAAGAAGAAGAAGGCGTCTGAGGACAAAGCCCGCAGCTCCAGGTCCTCGTCCGCCCTGTGAGGCCCCTGTGCCCGTCCAAGCTCTGCTGCCCCCCCAGCCTTTCCCCAGCCTCCTGGGCCCTTTCCCTCTGTAGGGTGGGGCCTTCAGGGCCTCAGTGTCCCCACTGCACATCGGGAGAATGGGACTGTGTCAGCATAGGTTCTGAGGTGTCACCAAGGGATGGGTCCCTGGCACAGGGCAGATGCCAACACTTGTCAGGGCTTGGGTTTGTGGCCTAACTACAGGCCGGGTGCTCGCCCAGGACAGGAGAGCTGGTGGGGGGCGGAGAAGGCCAGCGAGGCTCATAGCAGTTTTGGTGTCTGCAAGAAGCCTCTGTTAGTCCCAGCCTGACCCGTTCTGCCTGCCCCTGCCCTCAGCTCTCGCAACTGGAACACGCTGCTCATGGGGCCCAATGCCATGGCCGATGCCATCGCACAGAAGTACAGTGCCACCAAGAGCAAGTATTCGACCACGTGAGTGATCCCAAGTGTCCTGTGCGCATTGAGTCCACAGGCTTCCTTCCAAATGCTGACCACGGTCGCCCTCTGCTGGGGTCGATTCAAGCAAACCCCGGAGTGTTTTTCAGCCACTTGGCAAAGGACGTCCCTTGGTTCTGCCCATTAGCTGCTTTCTCCATTGTCCTTTACCCTCC